TACACAAATCATATAACTCTGTAGTATATAACTTAAATTTTGCAAAAGTATTATATAAATACTTATATACATGAAAAGTCATATAACTATATTTTGTACTACTTAGTCATATGACCTCACATAATCTATAACAATATATGATATGCATCTCAGTTATACTTGTATATTCAAAACACATAAATCAAGTCTTACAAACTTTTTATCTTATATAAATAGCATTTTAAACTATTTATACATCTCAGTTACACATATATATTCTGAATATATACTAAGTTTTGGATACTATTTTATTCTTAATTTTATTTTAAACTTATTTTTATTATATACTATATTTATTGAGTATTGATAATATTACTTTATATCACATAACTAAGTATTGAAAAGCCATAAATTGCTTAAAATCTCTACTATCTAATCTTAATAATGTTCAATACAATGTAAAAATTATATGTTTTCATATTCTCATAAAAACATATCTTTAATTTGATAACATTTAATATTCTATAAGTATTTTTTATAAAACAATTTTGAGAGTATAATACTCAAAAATATGTTCTGTATAAAAGTATAATTGTATAAAATTAATAATTAAAATCTAGCAAAGTTTCAAAATCATCTAAAAAAGAGTTAAAGTAACTACCCAAAACCTAAATCATATTATTTATATAATTTATAACTTTATTAGTTTTTTATGTAGCTATTTTTATTTGCTAAGCCTGCAAATAATATATCAATTAGACAATTATATTATCTGAATTTTGAAGGCTTTCTGAAAAAAATGAATAATTATAAAAGTAAAACAAAAATTTAAATTAACATCTGATATTTTCCAAAATAAAACTTTTAAAAACACAAAAATATATATATCAACTCTCTTCAACAATCACTCATACCAAACATTCAACTAACAAAAATAGAAAACTTGTTGGAAAAAGTAGAAAAGACAACTAAAATAACAGTTTTTACAGAGATCAAGGCTTTTGGTTATTTTTGTCCAAACTTTTCTATATATTCAGCAAGCAAGTTAAAAGTGTTTTTGTACAAGATAACTGGCAGAAGATGGTGTCCTTGTACAAAAAATTTTAATAGAAGTATAGCTTCTGCTAACAAAGTTAAAGTTAGCTAGTCTATAGGAGAACAATAAGCAAGTTTTCAACACACTTCCTATTGAAGTTTAAGGCTACCTGCAAACTAAAACCCTCTACCAAGACTCCACTCTTTGTTTTTTACAAAATTTTAACAAAAAGTAGAAAATCTAGCATACTCCTATCAAAAGATCAATAACAACATCTACTTTGGGATGAAAAATATTTGATTAGTTTTCTCAAGAGGTTGTGATATTTACACTAAGATTGCTGAAGTTGTTAACTTTGTCCAGAAAATAAGTATAAGCATGAAAATATATTGCAAGATACTATGCTGAAAACCTGGTAGGACTGCAAAAAAAATTTTAAACTTGGATCTCTACTCAAAAATAGATATTTTATATATCTCGATATAGATATAAATAACTAGCATAGAGTTTAGACTAGTTTATTTAGTAGTACTATATAATTTTTACAATCTGGTATATGTTTAATAGTGCTAACTTTGTTTTCTTTTCTTTTATTCTGTTTTTTCTTTTATATATTATTTTGATTTATTTGTTTAGATGATTGAATTTAGACATTGAGATATCACCCTATTTTTTCTTTTACCTTTTTGAATTTGTGTTTGTACTTCATTTTGTAAAAAAAAAAATGATACTGATATAGCATGTGGCACCAGCCAATAATCGAAGGATTTATGCCTTTAGAAAGTTAGCTGCCCAGAAGGAGGCAAATGGCCACTAGGTGATATCACACCTAGGCTTTTAAATCAAGTGAATTACTTGTTGCAGTTAAAAAAATAACTATTGTTAAGAATTCTAAAAATTTTTGCTTGGTTAACACTTTAATAAAATAGTGGCAAGACATGCTAAAAAAAAACACAAGAATATAATAAATTTTTACTATTAAGAACATAAATAAATCTCTAAAAATATTACTGTAAATCAAATAAATTTGTTCTTATAAAAGCATATATTTCAAATTAAATTCTAACACTAGTTCAACAAACATTTTCTAGCTTTAATTCAATATTTTGAATTTTTCATAAGAATGTTTTTGATAATTGAACAAACTTTGTAAAAATATATACTAAAAGTTGTAATGCTAGTTAACATTATTCTTTTTATATATTACTTCTCAAAATTTAATTTTTTTGTGCAAACAACAAATTATTAGTCTGGCAAGACAAAATATAGTAAATAAAAAAAGTAAATAAAAAAATAATATTTTAAACCTATCTTGAAATGCTAATAAAAAAATCTAACAAGTATTATATTATTTATATTATAATATGTTCATCTTTTGCAGATTTATCCAAAAAGATTAATTGTTTATGGACACCAATATATACTATAAAACACTTTTCGCAAACTTATTTTATTTTATTGGCATCTTTTTGAAGCTATTCAATAAAAAATACATATTGTATAAATGCTAAAAAAACAAAATAAAAAAAATAAAAAAAAAACTTTTTTTATATGATATCACAGTAAGCCAAAGATCTCCAAAATATCAAAATTGACACAGACTTTTCAGTATATCATTTTATCTTACAAACAAGCTTATCCAAATATTAATTAACTTTTCTCTAGTAATCTGCTACAAATTCTAAATTATATAAAAATTGTTAAAAGAAATACTATAATTATTATAAAACAAATAAAATTATACATACAGTTATATTGTTCTTATTAAAAGTTTTTGAGATCTAGAAATTTGATACCATAGATTAACAACCATACTTCACTTTTGGTAAATTCTCAAAACTTTATTTATTAATGATATGCTCATATATAAAATAAATGCAATTTTTTTTTTAAGTAACCATCATAGTATAAGTAAATTATGTATTACTTAAGATTTTTACAAAAGAACATGATGTTTCTAAATTTTGTATATTAATTTTATATAAAATTTGTAAAAAAAAAAATATTATTGTCTGTTTAACTAATAAAAAAAAACTTATTGTAAAATTTTATTATTGTTTGGTTAAAAAACTAAAAAATTTGGCATAAAATTAAATATTATAAAAAATTAAAATACAATAAAATTCCAAAATTAGCTAAATAAAAAGTTAAAAATTTTTATATTAATTAGTCTAACAACTAAAAAATTTAGAATACTAATAGATGTTTTATTATCGCTATTTTTGAAATAATTGAAAATGGCAAATAATTTTTTTTTAACATATACTTATATACTCATATAATCTAAGATAATCGAGTATATGAGTATACGCTAAAAAAAAATATTTCTATTTTCAATCATTTTGAAAACAGCAATAAAGAATCAAAATATGATAAAGAATCTTTGGAATTGTTATTTTTTTAAGTAAGAATTTGTAAAAAACCAAAAATTTAATGATTTTTTTTTAATTTTTGTGTGATGGGTAATTATCTGATGAATACAGTAAGTTGAAAAGTACAGTAATTTGAAATATTCATGTGTATAATTATGCTGTTATATATAATACTTTTTGATCAACAATCTAAACTTTACTATATTTGATTTATTATAAGTTAATAATATAAGTGTTGTACTTCAGATAGCAATCTGCTCGATTTGGAAGCTAGCTATCTTGATTCAGAATCAGGATAGCTAGATTTAGAATTTTTATATGGTAGATCTGATTCACTATATTAGTATTCTAATCCTAATACTAATCTTACTAACAGTTTTACAGAATGTCATGCAGATCAATTTTAATATAGAGTTAAATAATTGATACACCTAATTTTTATATATAAAATTTTGTTTTTTTTGGATTTATTTAATAATAAAAATTTTTTAGTTTAATTTCTGGGTATTATTTCAAATTCTCTAGTATTCAAATGTTGTTTTTACGAAATTTCAAAGATAGTTTAAAATAAAATAAAAAATAATCTTGACTGTAAAGTTAGCCAATTTTTTTACAATTTTTACTACTTGTTTATAAGTGATATATGTTGTTTACCAAAATAGACAATAATAAATATTTAATTACTTGAATAATTATTATTAACTATTTTGGTTAAACAACATATATCACTTATAAACAAATAGTAAAAATTGTAAAAAAATTGACTAACTTCATAGTCAAGATTATTTTTCATTTTATTTTAAATCACCCTTGAAATTTCATAAGAAGAATCTTCAAATACTAGAGAATTTGCAAATAATACCCAAAAAACCAAAAAAAAATTATTATTAAATAAAACCAAAAAAACAAAAATTTTCTAAATTTTACATATAAAAATTAGGTGTATCAATCATTTGATTCCATATCAAGAATTTTACACACGTGATATGCACGACATCTTGAACTACCCCAGGTGCGGAAATTCTACGGACAGTGCTTACGAACAGTGCAGATCACGTGATATTATATAAAATCACCTACCTAACCGCTATCTAACCAATCTCTAAAACAAAATTTTACGGTCACGTGATGATCTACATCAAATTATCCAATAATTAATCACAATTTTGTGCAACGTAACACGATCACGAAGATCCAAAATAAACGTTAGTTTTGTCAAAAAATCGCCTTTTGTGAACTAACAAAAAAATTCCTCGAGTAATTTTACTATATCGCATCACTCACTACATTAATTTAAACGCTAACCCTAACATCAAAGATTTGAGGTGAAAGAAATGAAAAAGCTAGCGAATTATCATATTGAACGAAAAAAATGATTAGAATTAAAAATTAATTTTTTAAAATTTATTTATATATTTTCTCTGAGAATCAATATTACAGCATTAAACTCTGTAGTTAAATTTGGTATATGTCATATTTCGATCGGTATAAATTTTAAAATGACGTATCAATTCGGAATCAACATAAATCATGAATTGACGTATAACAAATACAAGTATTGTCTGATATCAATAATTCTATAAAGCAAGATACAAGTTTATGTAAAAGTTCAATTATATATAAGAATCACCTAAAATAATCGGTATTTGAGATTTTTCAAAAATTTCTTTCGTTTTTAGAGTAAGAGCAATTTTTCCCCATCTCTCACTATAATCAGCCATTACGTGTATGCCTTGTAGACTCACAAAAGGCATTTTTTGTGAATAAAATACAGGCGAACCACTATCACCACCAGTGGAATCCATAGTTGAAGCGATAAAATTCTCCCAAATCTCAAAATCATTTATAAAAAAACTATTAAACATTTTATGTATCCACAAGTAATAAATGTATTTTTGCTAGATTTATATAAGTGAGCATTATGGGCTGATATAAGTTCATCATCTATTATAAATAGTTCTCTATATTGTTCAAAATCTGTATTTCTTATCTTTCTTGTTGGTCTTATGTTTATATTTGTCACTTGGATTAAGCCAAAATCAGTTCCATGTACATCATTATGTACCATTGGTCCAATTTCATCCTTAGGTTCAGACGAGTTCCGCGATAATGTATAATAAATGCTCTCAGCATTTATAGGAGCACAATGTCCAGCAGTTACAATATGATCTGTGTTGTTTAGATCTATCACCCAAAAGCCAGATGTACATATCGCTCCTCTATCTTTATTAATTATACCATCACCATTTATTATTTGACGTGTTATTATGCGTTTAGTGTGGGTTAAATTAGGAGTTCGTTTTCTAGAAAGTCTTGTTGGTTTTCCGTGATAACGTATAATTGGTTCATATGATTGAATAGCGTTTAAAAATGCTCGATTATATTTATCTTGTATATAAGTTGTCCATACGATAACTTTGTTACGTTCCATTTCAATGTATGTAGTTATTCCACGTGGTTTATACGTACGTCCTTCATCAATTATTTTCGTTAACATGGTTTTTAAGTATTTTAAAGAATTTCTTGCTCGTTTAAATGATAATAACTCTATATACGGTCCTATCTGAGGTGAACTTAATATAATATTCCTTCCAGTTTCATTTAGTGTCCTGATAATTATTTTATTTTCTTTTACATCTATATAAGATCCTTCAAAACTTCCTTCATTATAATCTAGTAATGGTTTTAAAAAATGTTTGTCTACCATGCGTAAGTAGGTCTCAGTATTTAATAACTCAGGTACATTATCTTCGGTTACATTCCATAACTCCGCTAACTCTTTGTACAAAGTACGAACCATAAAACATCTTTGTAATATAAGAATAAGCAATAACAATTTTATTATAAAATGAATACTTCTCATAATTACATTAGATAATAATAAAACAGAGGTAATTGTAAAAGAAAATAAAAATTACCACAAAACAAAACTAGAAATTCTATATACTAAGGGCTTTTATATTAAGACTGATGCATGGTTATTATTATAAGTGAAATAATACGTACAAATTCGTGGCATTTGTACTAACCCTATATGTACTGGAGGATCAAATTATTCATTGACTGGCTCATTTCGTAGTTCGTAGTTGATTCACCGACAGCTCATTTCGCAAGTTTTTTTTACTAACCTTCAACATAATTCTAATCTTAACCCTAAAATTAATTACTATAATTGCTATTGACGGTAAAATTATTATTATTTCCAATAATTATTCTAATTGTTTTATGTAATAAGTAAAGAAAAAAGGCAACCTGATCTGCAGGTTACTAATTTAAAAGTTCATTTCCTAGATTACATTTTTCGATTTAGTTGGATCAACGATTTTCATAATTTTTTGAGCCTCGTGAGTCGCGTAATTACAATATAGGTACGTACGTACGTACCTAAATTTGCTACAGTATATGGGGTCTTTGCCTTTCCGATCGGATTAATTCGGACAAAAATAAACCCGAGTACCGGTTCATGTTTATACGTTAATCATCTTTTACCTTTATTGATTCAATAGTTTATAGAATAACTATTGAATCAATAAAGGTAAAGATGATTAACATCAGGGATGACATGTCACAATGTCCAATTTGGTTCAATTTTTTTTTGAACATATGGGGTCTTTGCCTTGAAAATCACGTTATGGGACATTTGATTTACTATGTCCCATAACG